AAAAAATTCCTGGGATGTTTTTTGGCTCGTCTGGTTTTGCCGGGCGGACCCCCCCCAGTCCGTCTGGCCCGGTCCATCTGGACCGGGCGTCGGCTTAACCCAGGTTTGAGGCTAAAAATAAGGCCACATCAGATGAGTTTGTGCTGGTTGAAGGCTTGTTGTTCCTAAGGACAGGAATAAACGTTTGTGTGTTCCAAACAGAGAGTCTTTGCGTAGTTTTATTTTTATAGGTGAATGCCACGATACAATCGGACATTCCAGTTACAAGAAGACAGCAGCAAATCCAGTGCTGCGTTTCTGGTGGCCAATGCGGAAAAGTATGTAGAGACTTGACAGGTTCGTCAGCGTGACAAGCCAAGGACGTAGGCACCTCTTGGGCTTATCAAGCCCTTGCCTATCCCTGTTGGTCCTGGTCAAAGTCAGTCCATGGACTTCATGGATACTCTTGTGACCAGCAAGAGCGGTGAAGGCACATCTTCCTCTTTGTGGACAGGTTCAGCACATTGAGCCTCTCTGCTCGACACCTTGAGCACACACACACACGCGTTGAAAGATCATATGAAATCCACACTGGAGTCCAGAGATGCAAAGTCCAGATATGCGCAGCTTAGAAATTTCAACAAATTATCACATTAAACAGTTTCGGTGAACCAGTCACCAAGCGCTCAACAGTGCAGAATTCAGCAACCCAATACCAGCACCCTCATCTAAGGTAGGTGACTTTCTTCTCTCTCTCTCTCTCTCTCTCTCTCTCTCTCTCTCTCTCTACTCTACTCTTGAGAATCTTGACTCTGAATACATCCACTGCTACTCAGCTCTATCCCTACTACTAACTTATGCGGCTATGGCCGCCTTCCCTCTCAGTGCAGAGCTGCCCAGCAGGGCTCTCGCGCACATGCTACTTGCAGATAGCGCACAAGCGCTTCAACAGCGCTTCCACACTTCTCGCAAATGAGCCATCTCCCCGAAATGTGGCTGGCCAGTCCTTATATTGACTTGGACTGAGCCTCAACTCGTCCCAGCCTCTGCTCCCTTTGGCTTGACTTGAACCCGCCTGATACCACATGCCCGTGGCCTGCTTGCTTCAGAATGTCAAGGCCTGGTACTTTTCCCGAATTTTCATTGGCGTGCTGCTGCTTGAGTCTGTGAGTCACGACTTTTCATCTGTGGAACATGACTTTTGACTGTGGGTTGTGACTCTTGCCTCAGGGACACGACTTTTGCCTGGAGAAGTGTCCTTTGCCGGTGGGACATGACTTTTCAATATGAGAACGTGACTTTTGCTTACAGAATGCAACTTTTGCCTTTGGGATGTGACTGTTTACAGGGTGCCTGTTGGACTTGACTACCCCGACTGTGACCTTTCTGAACTGACCGACTTGGCCTCAGACCTTGACCCTGAAATTCGAATTTGGGGTCTGCATCGTGGAATGCCTTTCATCAGTAAGTACGCTGGACTAATCTCTATGCCGGAGACAGCTAGGACTGACCGCGTCATCAAGTTGTTTATGGACAACTGGGTATGTGACTTCAGTCTTCCGAAGTCCATCGTTAGTGACGGGGATGTCAGATTCACAAGCCAACTGTGGCAAAGTACAGCCCAACAGATGGACAGTCGACTGCAAATGACATCAGGGAACCACCCTGCATCAAATGGCCAAGCCGAGCAGATGAACCGGGTAGTGCAGCACTTGTTGCGGCATTATATTAAGCCAAGTCAGGATGACTGGGATGAGAAGCTACCTCTCATCGCCAGCCTATACAACAATGCCGTGCACAGCACTACTGGTATGACTCCCAACCAGCTGCATCTTGGTTGGAAGCCCAGATCTGCTCTTGACTTCTTGTTGCTGTTAAGTAATGACCAGATGCTGCAGCAAGCTGTCGAACACATCAAGAAAGCTCAAGATGCCACGGTTGCCTCTGAGAACGGTCACAGAAGGCCGTCGGCATTTCATGTAGGTGAGCCAGTCTGGGTTAAGTCATCTGAGTTGAGACAGGAACTGGGAATCTCTCGTAAACGGATGCCACAGTATTTCGGATCCTGGGAAGTATTGGATATCATAGGTGATCGACCAGATGGTCCTTCCCGTGTTATTCGCATCCCTTGTCACCTTCGTACACACCATGTTTTCCATGCATCTAAGTTGGCACCCTTAGCTGCTTTCCCTCAAGAAGATCGATGCTGCCCCCACCCATGGACGGACAAGTTGACGTCGTCGAACAAGCTGATGCCGCAGGCCTGCTGGAGCTAGCGCTCGCGGGCTGCTGCGTTAGCACATGGCAAGTGTGCGTGCGCGTGCGAGAAGGCAGGGCGCTGCTGAGGGTAGCGCTTGGATAGCCAGTGGAGGTAGTGGTGGTCTTCGTGCATGAGGGAGAAGACGTGGGTGATGAAGATGAGGGAGAGAGAGAGAGAGATGAGGATGATGATGTGAGGGCATGTACCCGGTCCTCCCGATGGTCTACAGAGTCGACATTTTCATGTACTTCGGTTGTTGCTGCTGACGTCAACAGATTGCATTGTCAATTCGGAGGCTGGTAGTAGCTGTGTGATTGTACTCTGGGCGCTGAGCGCCAAGTGGGAGGAAGGGCTCTGGAGACATATGTCGGTGGGGGCGAGAGTATGCTCTCATTGACATTCAGATTCAGTGCTTTGGTTCTCCGTTGGTGGAATATCAGTGCATTTCTGCTTTCTCGACAGCGTTGGACTTTCCGGCTTTCAATGTGATTTTGCATTCCAGTATTCTGTCATTTAGGCCCCGCTCCACTACTCGCCGCATCCACAGAAGACAAAAAAAAGGGTGGTGTATCTTCCCATGTTTTAGCAGAAGATTCATTCTCATTTTGAGCATAAGATGAGTGGAGCGAGCCCCATAGCTCAGTCAGCACACGGAGGCAGCAGCAGTCGGAAGATGACCAGATGCTGGTAAGTACCGTAGCCTAAACGCCGAAAAGATGAAGGCCACAGGGATATTGATGTGTGGTTCTGTACGCTCCACCACTTCTCCATCCATTTCCAAAACTAATAAACTAATCTTAAAACACCATGAGCAGCTGGGTGTTGAGGTCCGAACTTGAAAGTACTTGGAAAACACAAAACAAGAAAGCCACACCTGCGACAGCGACATCAAGAGTGGCATTGGGTCTGGCTGTACTCCTCGCGAAATGTGAAAATTGCACAGAGCTCGACTTAGAGGTATGCAATAATACCTAGAGTAAATGCGGATGACGTGAAGACCAAAGGGATATTGATTGATACTTACAAATCAAAACTAAATGAAAAGAGAGAGAGAACCACTTCAGCAACAAGAAGGTCAAGAGCGAGATTCACTCCACACCTCATCAAACTTGAAACATGCAGAGCACATCTTGCCACTCCACCTATGTCACTCACCAATTCACAAATATCGTGAATGGTGGAGTGAGGCTTATTGACAGAGGCAGAGAGATGTCGAGACAGTCCAAAAGAGAGAAAGACAGGAGCATTTGGTTGCTGACCTACGCGTAAAATTTTGATCCCTTATGTAAGAGCTGGAATATACACAATGCTTCAAGGACCATCACTTGCATTTGCTGAGCAAGAGAGAGAGAGAAGTACATAGCTGGCAGAATGACGAATAGAGGAGAGGAGAGGGAGTGAAATAGAACGAGAAAAATAGACGGTGTGAGCGGCAGAGAGAATCGAGGATTGAGAGAGAGTGGGGCAATGGGAGGGAGAAAGTGGGAGGGAGAAGAAAACACATGCCAGGCAAAGGATGTACGCCGCATGCAAATGAAGATGCGTATTCAGTGGCATAACAACATGCGCAAGAGGAGGACAGAGTAGACTCACCCATCTGGAAGCATCAGCGAGAGTGCTGAAAATAACACCATAGGTAGGAGACAATAACCAATAATGCTGGTACATCGATACAGATCCAGGCTGCCATAGCTGCCTGCCAGAAGATTAAAAACTGTGTAAAGAAACACTGATCCTACAATGCCCCATCCAAGGATGACTCCTATGTGCCATTTCTTGTCCTGCCCATGTACACACAGATCGCCCAACAAGGGTCCCAGCAGCCACACGAGCACACCCACCCACCCACCCACCCACACAAAGACACGGCCAACCAAAAAACCAACAAGGTGAGATCATCATTTCATCCCATTTAACCATTCGCTCATACAAACAAAAAAGGATGGAGAAAGAAACACCATTCAATTTAGGAAACTTGCTGCAACAGGCACCATTTAGGAAACTTGCTGCAACAGGCTGTCCAAACACATCACATTCCCGATAAGTACCACATCAGGTTCATATTGATAAGCTAAGCAAACCTTGAAGGCGGTGACAATTGTGGGCTTTCCTCTGTTAAATCCTGTTTTTTTTCTGTTTGCTGCTTCGACTCATTTTTTCTTCCTCCCTCTCTGTTCACACACCTCGTGGAGGACATGGCAATATACACTTGTGTAATGAACCGCAAAATCACAGACTGAGAAGTCGGCTGATTTCTGAGTTTTGCTGCTGGACTAATGACTTGCTGAAGTTCCCGTATTCTGCTGAGATTCCCGTATTCTGCTGAAAATTCTAAGTACGTGTGTGCGCACGACTGCTGAGTTTCCGTGCGTTTGACTGACTGCATGACAGCTTGGGTGTGTTTGTGTGACCTGCCATGGTACTTTGTGCCGTGAAGGCCCCTCATCAGCTGGTGTGAGATCAGATCCGAGTAACATTGTCATTTTGCCTCACTGTCAGGTAAATCCTATCTGATATGAGTCTTCCACTCTGTAAGATTACAAATATTTTCTCATGTTGCTGATCTCTGGACTTCGTATCCATGGATCATTACGAGGCATGCATCGCAGACCCCCCCCCCCCCCCCCCCCCCCCCCCCCCCCCCCTTCTGCCCGCAGTTCACCGGGCAGTTTTCTGTCAGAAAATCATCAATAGAATAGAGTAGAACTGTAGAATAGAATAAAATAGAATATAGTATAATAAACACAACATAATGTGATGACAAGACATACAACACCTAATGTGATGACAAGACATACAACACCTAATGTGTTGACAAGACATACAACACCTGAAGCACAAGTAGTTAGTACATTTGCAGGGATAAAAGCCGATGGGAGATTCTGATGATAATCACCAATAATTGGCAAGCTCCGAACACGAGACAGAATAGCAGCGGCCCAGACAAGTCACCATCCTCCATGAGCTCTGCATTCAGCCGAAATGGGCGAAGGATTGCCCATGTCTTCTTTGATATCAGAGGAAGATTGATACCCAACTCTAAGAGAAACAACAAGTCCATGCATCACACACACACACACACACACACGAACCGAGCATAGGGTCAGCATTGCAGTTCGGACGATTTCAGAGTCAATGAAGACAACTGCAATCAACAAGGGATAAAACGGGAAAAATAAAAACCAGAAAACCAGCGAGGTCATCGTGAGCCGTGCGGCTGGGACATGCAGAAGGCAACTCCAATGAACATGAAACTACCAGTGCCTCCAAGGCTCTCATTTCTGATGCACGATCTGCCCACTGCTAACATGCCGAACCCTTGCAGGCATGGTCCTACCAGGCGCTGCCAGCCTTTCAGTCTGGACATGAACACGCACACACACACACACACAAATGCACACAAACGCACACACACACACACACCTTTCCCTCTCTCAAGCACACACGCAAACGCAAACGAACATCCACACAACCTTCTCTCTCTCTCTCTCTCTCACACACACACACACACACACACACGCAAACTTGCATATGCAAACAACCGTTCCAGGTGTTAAGCGAATCTCTCTCCCTCTCTCTCTATCTCTCCCGCTTCCCCATGCAATTTTTCTGAACGTAACGAGGGATGGCGCCTCAGCCGTAGGCTGATTGAGCGCCATCGCCCGCCTCATTGACGCCCCATTGACGCCTCATTGACTGATGAAGGAATCGTTCGAACACCCAGTTATACGTTCGGCTGAACGGCTCGCAGGAAGATGGCAGCTGATTGATAAAGTCCAATGCAGAAAATGTGGATGGACCAATTATAAATAGATGAACAAATGATGGAACAGTAGATATGTGATGACAGATGCATGTACGGATGGGATTCATCGACGCGAAAGCTATTGGTCGATAAATGGGACAAGAATTCGAATTATAATTTGGTTGACTGATTGTTTGAATCGGATAAGATTAGATTGCATTGATTGAATTCTTGGATTGAAACAACTATGGGATCGACTGATTGCTGGCACTGATTGATGCGATTCATTGATTAATTGTTTGGTTGACTGATTGGTCAATTGAGCGATCGATGGATTGAGTGATCGTTTGGTTGACTGATTGATTGCTTGGTTGATTGTTTGGTTGATTGATTGGATTGATTGATTGATTGATTGGTTTGCTTGGATTGATTGACTAATTGGATTGATTGATTGGTTCGCCGATTAATTCATCGACTGATTGAAGATTGAATTCTTGGATTGATTGAATTATTGGATCGACTGATTGATTGGATTGGTTGATGCGATTCATTGATTAATTGTTTACTTGACTAGTTAATTGAGTGATCGCTGAATCGAGTGATTGTTTGGTTGACTGCTTGAATTCTTGATTGATTGATTAACTGATTGATTAACTGATTGATTGATTGATTGATTGATTGATTGATTGATTGATTGGATTGATTGATTGATTGATTGATTGATTGATTGGTTCGCCGATTAATACATACTGACTGAAGATCTGATTGCCAGAACGAACAGAGACTTAACCAATTTATTAATTGTTTACTTGACTGACTAGTTAATTGAGTGATCGATGAATTGAGTGATTGTTTGGTTGACTGCTTGACTGCTTGATTGATTGATTAATTGATTGATTGATTGATTGATTGATTGATTGATTGATCGACTGATTGGATTGATTGATTGATTGATTGATTGATTGGTTCGCCGATTAATACATCGACTGATTGAAGATCTGATTGCCAGAACGAACAGAGACTTGACCAATTTTCCAATCGGACTTCAGAAACCAAATGCGTTGCGTTTTCGTCACTATGAGGCCATCCCATCCAATTCTAACAATTTTTTTTCGTCGCGCCGCGTTTGTTCGTAGTTGCACAGTCGAAGCCCATGATTGCACCCATGCTGATAACGCATTTTTACTCCTTTGGGCATCATATAACTTTGACGTTCCTCGTCGCAATTTCGCCATTTTCTGAACCGAAATCGTCAGGGCTTACCGGGATCCCGTCTGTAGAAGACCACGATTTCAGTTCAATAAACGCCGAAATTGCGTCCAGGAACGTCAAAGTGAGGTGCCCAAAGAGGTATTTTGCTGTCAAGACTTGACAGCACCAACGCATTTGCTAAGAAATCCTCGTTGCTTTATTTGTAATTGACGAGTGATCGTAGTCATTAAACAAATTGGACAGATCATGGATTCAATAGTTCGATCGAATAGTTCAAAACATATTTGATTGGTTAGTTAGCTTCATTAGTTTGCCTGATTAATTGGATTGATTCGTTGGACTGATTACCTTGAGAGATTGATAGATCTGGTTGATTGATTAGTTTGATATATGTATGACACTGGTTTGATTGATTCGTTCGATTAATCAAGTTTCGTGATATTATATTTCGTTTGATTGGTTTGACTAATTAGTGTGAGTAATTTCTTACATCGGTTAGTTTGACTAATTCGTTTGGTGGGCTCGTTTTATTCATTCTATTTATTTCATTTGCTTTTATCGATTAATTACTTTGATTGCTTGAAAAATAAGTCTAATTAATTCACCTCACGAAACCAAACGAGAGAGAAGAGAGAGAGTTGTAAACGCATTCTTTGGTGGCAGGCATGTGTGGCAGGCATGTGTGGCAGGCATGTGTGGCAGGCATGTGTGGCAGGCATGTGTGGCAGGCATGTGTGGCAGACGGGTTAGCGTATGTATTCTGGAGTTCGACAGAAGCAGGGAGAAGGGAGGTAGGTGGGCACAACACACAATACAGAATGTTTCCTTAAAAAAAGGAGGAGAACGGGAGGGAAACTTGCGTCGTGAATTGCAATACGAGATTTCTCGAAACGAAGGGCCTCGCTCCACTCCGCAGCGTACTCAAAAATGTATCTAGACCTGGTAGAGGGCCGATACATATTTCAATGTTCGATAAGGGCTAATGTATCTGGACTACAATCCAATTCGAATACGTCTCAATTGTTGAATAGCGGAGCGAGCCCCAAAGACGGAGGATGGAAAGAAAAGAAGAACCGAAAAGAAAACGGGAAATGTTATACAAGATCCTCTGCTGGCCAAACCCCAATGAAAAGTCAGGAGCAAAGAGGGTTAAAAAAAAAAGAAACCAAAAAAAAAAAAAGACAACGCTCTGGGTAAGCATGCTATGGAGTGCAGGTAAGCGATGATCTTGGGCGGTATTCACACGAGGACTCTGCCGGACGCATTTTGCTTTCATCACGGCCAGATTCAGTTGAGAACTTCGTAGCATGAGTATGCACTTACTACTAGGGTAAAGGGCTTAGGGTAAGTAATATTCGCGCGCGTGATGTATCCGGCTTTCATCACGGTCCGATTCAGTTGAGACCGTCATGAGCATGCACTTACTAGCGTAAAGGGCTTAGGGTAAGTAAAATATTCGCGACGTGATATCGCAGTAGATCTTGTAAGACAAAAATGATGACAGATCGTACCCAGATTTGCAATTTCCCGAACCTATCTGGATGGAAATAGGACCAGATGCACTCCAAAACGTCCTGAGGTGTTAGTGTATGTCCTTGGATACACACATGATGTAGATTAAAATTTAAAATCCATCTCGAAAGGACTGCCGCTCCCTGGATGGAAATAGGACCAGATCCATTCCAACAGTTACGACTCGAAAGGTGCAATAGGAACCGGACTGCCGCTCCTCGGAAGGGACGTGCAGCCAGAACCGTGAGGTTCTGTTTAAAAAAAAAAAAAACAAAGACTCGTAAGGTACATCGTTAGGACCAAAAAAAAAAAAAAAGAGGTGCTATACTATTTATTATTTACTATTTTTAGGGCGTTCAAAAATAGTGGCGTCCGTAAATGAATGACGAGGAATGTGAGAATTCACGGCATGATGTCTCAGAGGTCAGGGCGTGTCTTGGGGATTATTAAAAAAAAAAAAAAAAAGAATTCACGGCGTCATGATTTTTTCCATTTGGTTTGCAAATAAAAGCTACAGCCTCAAAAAAAAAAAGAAAAAAAAAAGTGAGTTGAATAACGACGTGACGAAGAAGGTGATATTCGAGGTACATACAGTAATTCATGAAAATCAGATTTGTATTTAATGTTTTTTTAAACGCTTTTCCTTTTTGAGGATGGCAGGTATCTTAGGTTGGTGAATGACCTAAATAGGGTATATGATGATATTTATACCTCGTGAAGGATTGTGTGTATGTGTACGTGTGTGTGTGTGTGTGTGTGTGTGTCAGTGAGAGGGTGTGAAACAGAGAGCGAACGTTAAGTGATGACCGACGAATTTATAAATTACTAAATTAGTGTATATCGATAACGATTGTAGAGATGGTCACCTTATCCCAGGAGAGAGATTGGCTCGTTTCAACAGAGAGAGTGGGATATGGATGTTCGAGACACGTGCAGACGGTCAACGTTGCCCTCAAGTTCAGCGATCGAAATGTGAGTCCCAAAAAAAAAAAAAAAAAAAAAAAAGGAGACGTGAGAGCCGAAGAGACCGTTGGAACGACAAGAGATGAGCAAAGAAGGGATGAGGTTGAGAGAGAGGAGGAAGAGAGAGAGAGAGAAAGTGTGAGAGAGGTGGTCACCTTATCCCGGGACAGATTGGCTCGTTTCGACAGAGAGAGTGGGATAGGGGTGTTCATGTGACACGTGGATTGTCCAAACTTGGGAGAGTGTGAAAGGGCAACATGGACAATCCACGTGGATAATTTTTTGTAAGGAAAAAACATTATATGTATTGTTATGTTTTTTGTGCCCACCTCTCTCCTCCCTGTTTATGCCGAACTCCAGAATGCATACGTTAGCCCGTCTGCCACATGCCTACCAGCAAAGAAGACGTTTGCATCTCTCTCTCTCTCTCTCTCTCTCTCTCTCTCTCTCTCGTGTTTGGTTTCCTGATGTCAATCAGATTTATTTTTCAAGTAATCACGGTAATTTTTTTATCAATAAAATCAAATGAAATCAATACTATTCAATAGAATGAATAAAACGAAGAATTCGGCCACATGCATGCAACCAAAGAATGCGTTGGCCAACGAGGCCAATGTTCATGACACGTGGATTGTCTTGGACAGACCGTTGGAGTGACAAGAGACGAGCAAAGGAGGGATGAGGTAGAGAGAGATAGTGAGAGAGAGAGGAGGAAATGAAAAGTAAGGAGGAGACGCGAGAGTCGGAGAGACCGTCGGGACGACAAGAGACGACCAAAGGAGGGATAAGGTCGAGCGAGGAAAAGAGAGAGAGGGAGGAAGAGAGAGAGAGAGAGAGAGAGAGAGAGAAGCGAGGAAGGGAAAAGGAGGAACACGACGGAGCAGGTGTTGACGAATAAGAGTGAGGAGAAGGTCATGAACAGGAGGCAACAAACGACAAACAATACAACACGAAATTCTGAGAAAGGGGGTAAAAGAGCGGAAGAGAGAGGAAGAAATGGGCAGCAAGGGGGGATGAGAGGAAGGGAAAGAGGAGCAAGGAGGAGGAAGTTGAGGGATGGAAAAAGGAGGAGGGCACAGCAGAACGAATTAGAGGAGAAACTAGGCTACGATGGGGGGATGGATAAAAACCAATGGAACAAGTGGAGAGAAAGGTGATGACCGAAGAGAGGTGAAGAGCAAGGGGGGGGGGGGGGGGGGGGGGGGGGGNGAGAGAGAGAGAGAGAGAGAGAGAGAGAGAGAGAGAGAGAGAGGAAAAACAAGACGACGAAGCGGAATGGATAAAAAGCAATCCAATGAGAAGGGAGAAACGCGATGGAAGAAAACAGAGACAGAGAGAGCGGAGGAGGCGGAAGAGGAGGGATGGGGGGAAAGACGGGAGGAAGAAAAGGAAACAGACAACGACTAGGGAAGGATGAAAAGGGATGCGATGGAGACCGCGACAACAAGAGAGAGAACAGACGAACGGGAAGACTGTGATACCGAAACAAGGGTGGAAGAGGGCAAGAGAGAAAGAGACAGAGTGGACTCCGAGGAGCGTTGTGGGGAGAAGGGGCGCAATCCGGACAGATGGAGACGATGTAGAAAACAGGTAGAAGGGAGGAAGAAGGGAGGAAGGAGGGAGGAAGAAGCGAGGAAGAAGTCAGGAAGAAGAGAGGTGGAAGGGAGGTGGAAGGGACGTAGAAGGGAGGAAGAAGAGAGGTGGAAAAGAGGTGGCTGCACCTTCGAGAAGCGGCGGCTCGTCTTCAAATGTTCCAAAATTAGCCATCCCAGGTCTGACAGGAGGAGGAGGCGTGTAGAGGCCAGGACCAGTTCCTGGGCCATAGGGACCAGGAGGGCTGTTCATGTCGAAAGACATGAAGGACATTCCAGGTCCGGATCCCCGTCCGGGACCACCCATTGCCACGTGTCGCCCGCCCATCACTTGGGGCGACGGCTGATTGACTCGCCGCGAGAAAGGCTGGTTCCCACTCGGACCAAATGACACCGAAACTTCCCCTTCTGGACCCATTACACCTTTTTCCCCTCCCTACGACTACTACTAACGGCTAGCAGAAAGCTTCAACTCTTTCCTCCTCCTCCTCCTCCTCCTCCTCCTACTCCTCCCTCTCCTTCTGTGGGACCAACCTACCTCCCCCACTCACCGCCAACCCAATTCCTTCCCCTTCCCTCCACCCAAACAACAAACGCAGAAAACAAAAACAAACAAAAAACACACAGCACTCGCCTAACGAGTCTACGCGGGAAAACCTCGTCTCATCTACACCTACCAAAACCTCTCTCTCTCTCTCTCTCTCTCTCTCTCTCTCTCTCTCTCTCTCTGTGTGTGTGTGTCTGTGTGTGTGTGTGTGTATGTGTTTGGCCAATGACCTTGTTCTACCCTAGCTACTACTACTACTACTACTAGCAGAGAAGAAAAGGAAGGAATGCCCACCCGCAAGGTGGAAACAGAAAGAGAGCGCACTCGAATCCGATCCCGCCCCCGCGCAAAACGGATCCACGATATCACCTCTCTGAGTGCATTTATGGCGGGCAGCACAACGTAGCATGCGTGGCGCGCGGTCACGTTAGACGTTGGCCGTTGGGCGCGGGCTTTGGGGGTGGATTAAGAGATTCTGGCCGTTGATCTTTGCTATTACGATCAATATCGCTTAATTCGTGTAAGTGGGACCTAGCCCCGGAAGACAGCCGGCAACATGCCTGGTGGCTGGGTCCGTCCGATGAAAAGAAGAAAAGTGAACCGATGAACACACGCACAACACGACCTTGCTGAGCTCTCCGTCCAGGGCCAGTCCATGCGGCTACCCTCTTCCCCCGAATAATAAATCGAGGCCGGGGGACCTCGGCGGCGTAGCTCAGTTGGTAAGGCACGCAACTGGCATTTGAGGTCCTGGATTCAATTCCCGTTGGCCTCATATACCTTCCTGGGCAAGCTTGGTGCCCGCCACCTAGAGATTGGCCGTTGGTCCCACCGAGTGGCATTGAGCAGAGACTGCCGATGTTCATAGGGGGAGGGGGCCCCAGGGGAGGTGCGGCCACTGGCCCATAGAAGAAAGCTCGGTCCTGATGCTACCGGCTGACCCCTGGCCAGTATCGCCAACCTGCTGTAGCAGGTATCGCACCTGCTGGTGGGTGCAGCTCCCCCATGTTCCCTCGTTGGAGGCTTGAGCATGGATGTGGCTGCTACAGGATCCCGTAATACTATAATGACAACTAGCTAAGCGCCCGTGGTGCGGGCGGTGCGGGCCACGCCCACAGAAATAAGAGTAACTGGCTATGAAGTCCGAGTTTAATTCACAAATTAAAAAAGTGACAAATAGAAAAAAGAAAAAAAAAGCAAGCAAGAGAAAAGGCTACAAAGGCCGAGTGCGGAGCCCCTCTCCAGTCCCTGACACGCATGCTGCAGAGTAAACGGGGGGCAAGTCTCGATCTAATCCGTGCAGGCGGGCATGGCCTCGCAAGGGAGAGCTGCAGATCAACAGCGAAGTAGAGGACGTTCCCCCCCGGGCCAGGAGGATCTTCCACTCTCGGATGAAGATCGAATGAGATTACTGATCTCCAAGTGTTATGACAATGGGGTGTTCACGGAGAAGTCCACCATGGAGAATGGGTAGTGGAAGGAGGTGTCCGCACATTTGTGGTTAACCCTCGATTAGATGAGTTGACTACAAATTGGCTTAAGGAAAGAACGGTGACAATAATCTTCCAGGGAGAAGCTAGGGACTTACCGATGTGGGTGGGAAAAAAAAAAAAAAAAAAAAAAGGCGAGGAGAGACAAAGATAGACACAGAGAGAGAGAGAGAGAGAGAGAGAGAGAGAGAGAGAGAGAGAGAGAGAGAGAGAGAGAGAGAGAGAGAAGCAACAAAAGAGCAAAGAATAAAAAAAGTCGAACACGAGTATAGAAAGAAAAACAGTTTCATATGAAAATTTTTCGTTTCATTAAAGTAAGCAAGTTGCCACAGTATGATCAAGTCACAATTATTGCGTAGTGGAATCAATATTGACTTAAAAAGCAGAATAATATTACGTCAAAATTATTCAAGTCGTCTCTCTCTCTCTCTCTCTCTCTCTCTCTCTCTCTCTCTCTCTCTCTCTCTCTCTCTCTCTCTCTCTCTCTTTCTCTCTCCATTTATTTGTTTTTCTCTTCTCATATCTCTTGTAGGGGCAATTATGTAACTGAAACCGAAGACGACCATCTAAAAATTTGCAATTAAGGCAAGGACTGGACAATTGTCCAAGCAACATTTATCTCTTCCTATATCTCTTATAAGATCAATCAACTTCCTTTGCTGGAACGATACTCGTGCAGCATCTCACGAACAGAAACTCGTTGCAACACTTTGCGACGATACTCCTCGAAAGTTCCGAATTGACCTTGTCCTTGTCGAGCATCTACACACCTCCAAGTGTCCATGCTCGCATTAAATTCCTCTGCTGCTTCCACAATATTTTGAATCTTGTGAGAACTGTCAAGATGGGACGGGTGTGCAAGTGTCTTCTTGAGACCAATAGATTCAAGACAATCATATATGGCAATGTTAAAATTAGAAGAACTTGGTTGTCCCAAGGGTCCTGTATGGACATGCACATGGTCTCTTGATGGTATAAGAGCGAGCACAACACAACTGACAGGAGACGGAGTAGCAGTAGCGGCCGACAAAGCAAAAACAATAACAGAGGTAGTGACAATCGACATTGATATATGGGATGGTGAAGCAAAATCCTCAAAACGCTGAAAATTTGGAGGAGATGCTGCTTGAAGGGGGAGTCTACGGACCGGAGCGGAATGAGGAGTGGAAGAAGCGACCACGGGAGGAATCATTTCGAGAAGGTTCTGTATTCGTGCATATCTGTGAAAAAGCTGAGAAATTGTCCTTTCGGTCGGACAATGTAGTAAGTGAATTGTCGTCCTAGTAATCTCCTCATTGGAAAGAGCAACAAACTCATTGTTCAGAAGCGATTACAACATGAAAGAAATCTCCAAATCCGAAACATTCAACGGGTATGAAAGAAGAGGGGATCGTCGTTCCAACCACATATCAGTGAGTTTGTTTATTTTTTAGTCGAAGAAGTTTTCTCATATTCATCAATCTTTTACGAGAGAGCAACGAACTCATCGTTCAAAAGCGATTGCAAAATGGAAGAAGCCTCCAAATCCGAAACATTCAACGGGTCTGAAGGAAAAGAGGATCGTCGTTCCAACCACATATCAGTGAGTTTTTTTTTTTTTTTTTTTTTCCAGTCGAGAAAGTTTTTCCATATTCGTCAATCTTTTACGACTGTGACACTTTTGACTAACATTTCAAAAAAACACCTCAGTCAAGATGTTTTGCATGCCAACCCTCTTCGCAACGCCAAACCATCTAGCAAGGTATTTCGCAGATTCAAAGTGCGGATTGTGGGTGCATCGTTATCATCGAACACCACAATAACTGTTGCAGGATTTTGTGGTTGCGATGCCAGTGTGACACAAACATCTTTTTCGCATCCATTGCGTTGAGATTGCGAACACGAAACATTAACACGTGCACGGCCAACGACCCGTGCACAAAATTGAAGAGATGTAAGTGCATCGTCAGTGAGCGCATTCAACGCTCTTATAATCCGAGTTTCCGTTTCATGAACAATAAGTTGTCATCCCACCTGATTATCAGCAAAGGTAGGCTCCGACACTTCGGGGGAACCCAAAAGATTAATTTTCGCACCACGACTTTTTATTCTCTTAAATATAGATTCAACACAGTCTTCTTTCGAATCGCTCGTAATGTTACCATCCTCGTCATCGACAAATGTAAGATTAATAGACCCACCCGTCAGACCTCTACGTGAACCATCCCCATCAGCATGTCAATCGTCACCCCCCCCTCCACAACCATGTTCTCAGCATCAGCAAGGGTATTCCCTTGTGGACATCCACATTCAACTTTAAAAAAAACAGCATGATCGCCCTGAGCATGTCCACTTCCAAGATTCACCAATCTCTCATCATTTCCAGTTTTCTTCGACCTCTTTGAAAGTCCGGTATCAGCTTTAGACGTACATTCGGATCATATTGAATGATATTGTTGATTCTCATAGGGTTATGTTAATAACCGTATTCTCGACAATTCCCCTGGGGAGGTGTGTGAAATTTTTAGTGTTTATTATCCTGATTCGGACGATACCGGACTCGGTATTGAGAGATAGTTTTTAAACTCTCTCAATGAATCAGACCTTCCAGCTCACAAACTGCGCTTGAAAATTGGTGCGTCCGTTATATTTTTACGAAATTTGTCCCCAAAGCAAGGACTGTGCAACAACACAAGGTTGATTCTGAAGAAGATCGTAAATAATGATTTGTCATAAGTGACAATAATACGCACATGTAAGACGACACTGGTCTCCAAGATTGATCTGATAAGCGATGGTGAGACCACCGGGTTCAAATGGTTTATGAGACAATTTTCAGTCTGAATGAGTCATACATACGACACTCGTGCTATATTCATGAAATCAACTCATCAATCGGTTTATCCGCGCAAATCTCACGTGACAATCTGACTGCAGCAGGTTTATTAGGAACAACACGAGGATAATCACAATTTCCAACACGTATCAAAACGTGGACATACATTCATATCATTTCATCATTACCTAAGCTTAAGATTCAGATATTTTCGGTCAATTGATGAATCTCAAAAAGTTTTAATTAAGGAGACATTTTCATCGATGCATCAATTTGTTGCGCTCACGATCCGTGTTTCACAATGGGCAAAACCTGTCGAAATCCCTAGAAAGTAGTAGAACCTTCCCACAAAACGGCTCGTGATTGTTAGATCCCGAAGCGTAATGTCAAAAGTTTTCAAGTGAAACTTGTTACTAATCGGAGCCTCATCCCAGACAATCAAGTCTGTATGGTGGATAAGCTTCACAAAATCACTTTGTTTCGAGATTAAGAAGAGACGCGTGTTATCAGGTTTCAAAGGTACGTGAAATCGTGAGTGAAATGTTCGACCCTATATCAAAAAAGTCACCACTATGTCACTGGATGCTACGATCAGTCCAATGGCAAAACGAGACCTGATGCCCGCCAAAATCATTTCAATGCAAAAAGTATTTTCTGTTCCGGCTGGTGCATCGGGAAAGACACATAACGTTTTTTTCTATTGCACAACCCGAACAACTTTTTCCACCAACAATCGTTGACGTGTCCGAAGACGTCGAAAATTGAAGTCATATATGCGTTGCATTTGAATCGCATCATACAAAAACTCCTCGTTTAGAATCGACAATACTATTCTGTTATTGTAATGTCTGGTTATATTCTCAGCAATTGTTTCCCCATCGGGTGTTGAATAATAAAGGCAAAACTGACAAATATTTTTTCCAGACTCTTGCAAGATACGGTCAAGATGAAATAAGACTAACGATTGCAAAATGTTCAGTGAAACAATTTCATTGTCTGCACGATACTGAAAATCGTCGCACATATTATCTCAATGTCGTTAAAAGAAACGGACTGGATCGTTCACTGGACCAAAGGCGAGAACTATAGCAAACACTTTACGAACTTCTTCAGGCATGTAATGCGCTGGGACTGTGTCTATGCATTGATCGTATGTATTGTCGGTTTGTAAAAGGTCCAATCGAAGACACACGAATCAGAAATAA